AATTGATAAAATATTATTAAAATATTGACTTTTTTTGCTAATAAAATTTGAGAAAAGTACTTTTTTTTAATTTATGAATAATTATTTAACTTTTATTAATTTTATTTAAATAATTCTTTGATTTTTATTTTTCAATAATAAAACAAAGATAAACTCCGTCTTTTAAATTTAACGTTCCAAAAAAAGTAAAATAATTAACTTTAACAACTCGTATGAAAACAAAGGATAACGTGGAATATTTAAAATTCGCTATTTTAGATTCAGCTAACACAACCATGAATTACATGCACGTGAAAAATCAGAAAACCAAATTTTCCTAAATAAATAAAAAATATGCTGGAATTATAAGAATCAATAGCAAAAGATATATTAATATATTTTTCATTTTATTACTACTTCTTTAAAATTCCTTATATTTTTGCTAAATATTAGGATTTATTGATTATTAGCATTATTTATATATGATAACACAATTTTTTATAAAAGAGATAGAAATAATATTTTTTTTATTTCTCATGTATTTTTAAAAAATTCTTAACATTTCTCTGTTAATCAATTATTTTCAACAGAATATACAATGTTCAATAAAGTAGAATTAATAATTTTTTTTTGTTAATAATTATTAATTTGTTATTTATAATAATTATTTATTTGTTGCTTTATAGTTTTAAAATATAAAAATAAGTCATTTCTTATATATAATATTATAATTCAACATTTTTCTTATTTGTACACACATACATATATAAATATCATAAAAAAGCATATATATTCAACGTAATTATCTACAAAATTCAAAACATGTAGAAGATCAGTTTTTGTCGCACGTCAATCAAAATCACTATTTTTTTGTGAAGTATTTTGTTAGTTAGTAGTATTTTGAATTATATAGTATATAGTATTTTGAAATTTCGACACGTACGCTATAGTGAAAGAACGCCGCGCGTTATTTTTTGCATATAATGACAGATGCACTAAAAAACAGGTGTGAAAACGCATAGTACAAAAGCTTTGAAACATAATATGCCCTACTGTCAAACGCACGCGCACGCACGTTGGTATTCCATAATTAGATCGAAATAATGAGTCAATATCTCTACATAAAAAGAGTCGAAGAGGGATGATCTTTGTATCATTTAAAAGCTAAAAGTTTAGCGCTCCAAATGAATACAAGATTGTTAATCTTGTATAATTAATTTACGAGATATTGTCGATTAAAAAAGAAAATAAAACTAATTTCACGCTAAGAGAGTCGATTTTCATTTTTAAAGTAAAAATTATTGTATATTTAAATTGTAATATCTCCGTCCAGGATAAGCAATAAAGATTTAAAACAAATTGCATTGACAAGCGTATATTCTCATAACGTATATTTTCATAACGATATTAAAATCAAATACCGTTTTATTCTTTCATTATATAAAAAATAAAATATTAAAATCGTACTTGTGTAACAATCGTGCGTTTTCATCGCAAACTTTGTTTTAATAATTGATTGTGGATTAATCTAACAATAAGTGAATATATGAAACACTGTTTCTTGCTAAATAAATTTATGAAAAAAATATAACAAAAATAGAAAAATATTTCAAAGTTGATTTTCTTCTCATCATATAAGCGTGATTCAAAAAAGACACATGAATGTGAATAATAGATTGTTGTTAAAATTATTATTGAGCGCAATTTTTTGTCTCTTCGTGGATATGTAATAATTATATAGTTATAAAGAAGTTTATATATAATAATTATATAGTTATAAAAAAATCGTTTTCCAATTTCTAAAATTGAAACTTAAAATTGAATAACGTTTGTGTATCATATCTTTCATTGTAAAATTTATTTTTTTTTATTCGATGTTTTTCATCTTTGTACCATTTTTCTCTATTTAAAACGTTTTCAAATATACAATTGCAAAATATAAGATAAAATTAAGATATATTCTTTTACGTTTATGTGATTAATGTATTTAAATTTATTAAATAATATTGAATAATTTATCTTTTCTTCAATTCTTATTTAAATTAATTAAATAAATAATTTAAATAAATAAGAAAATAAATGATCATATCGTAAGCAATAAACAATAAGTACATATAAATATTAAATTACTTATTTCTCAACGTTGCTTCGTCGTCATTCGATGTTTCCTGTACTGCTTCTCTCCTTTGTCGTTGCTCTCCATCTTCTCCTCTTCTTGATTTCTTTGTTATAGCTAACAGCACTTGCAAAAACACGATTAATTACGATCGCACGCAAACTAATTAATAAAGTACGACGATTGCACAGCATTTAATTTGCATGGCGCTCTCGATATTAATCGTACACAACTCGCGTTCTTCTGAAATGCACGAAATCATAACTTTTTGTGTTACATGAAGTGATCCAGCGATTCATATATCACAATCCAGAGACAATAAATAATTTTGTATGCATAATAGCAGTTTTAATAAAATCACGCGAGAAAGAAGAACATATATTTATTATTTTTTTCTCTTTTTCATTCTATTCTTTTCATTCTGTCTTTTTTTTGTATTTATTTCTCTCTCTTTTTCTCTCTCAAGAATTGTTAAAAATTAAAACATGATGGATCAATCAAATGTGGCTTTCTCATGTCCAGACTCATATTAGAGGATTTACAATAACAAATATTAAGACCACATTGTTGGTTCAAATATTAAACTCGTTAGCGAACACATTTTGCTACTCACATTTTCATATTAATTTTGATGAAATGGACTATTATCATGTTTCTGCTATCCAAATTTAAGAAGTGCTGATAATATTTATATAATAAATTCAACGTGAATTTATATTAAATTAGTTAAAAGAAAAAAGTGAAAAAATTTTCTCTATATTTGATATTATATGTAATAATTTAGAACGCTCCACTACAAACATACTACGCGGAAAGAATTATTTTGTTGAAGAATTATATTTAAAAATTTAGATATAGATACAGATCTGAAAATAATTTTGTCGGATCGTCAAAATAACCACGTAGAAATCTTAACCATAATAAGCAACGCTGCAAAAAGTTTTGACATTCTAGCAATCAGTCTGATGGTCTTACATAATTATTTTGATAATCCAACGAAATCATTTTTAAATCTGCATTTAGCTTTTATAAATACTTCAGTAAAACTATCCTTTCCATATATAATATCACAGTCTGGGATATCATATAGAGTCGAAAATTTTAATATAAAAGATATTGAGATTACAATTATTTTCGACAATCATTATAGCTTGGAAATTATATGACCTCAACATCTTTGCCCTAATATAAGTTCTTGGACTTTAATTAATCTTTATGAAATATGCTATTGTGAATATATCATTGAGATTTTACTTACTTTATTAAATTGCAGCTAATTTTAAATAGACGTCGGTATCGAAACTTAACTTTACTGACGTATCGTAGATACCCATAAATAAAAAAAAATTACAAACAGGAAAGAAAAAGTGAGAGAGAGAGAGAGAAAGAAAATGACTTCAGAATATAGTTAATAAAATAATTTACATCTATGAATTTCCTTTAAATACGGTCAACTTGTGATATCATGTATATTTTACTGTAAGATATATGTATACAGCACATGTCTACGATTTAATGGAGTCAAGGTCTAGATAGTTAAAGTAGAGAGATATGTCGTTAACTACACTCATTCTCAGTAAGGCTTGTATGTGAAGATAGCACTGGCCATCAACATTAGAATGATATATACTCTGCAAATTTGAATTTTGTAAAAGTTTTTTCTTTCCTTCCTTTGCCATATATCGTGTCTTTCCAGAATATTCTAAGCCCTCTGATAAAGTTCTTCACAAATTCATAATAATTTTCTTCGAAAAACAGAAGGAAAAGAAGAAGCAGAAGCTTTCTTCGTAGATTAATTATTTTGCAAAATACATGTTATAAGAAACATTGCGAAGAATTTCGATACTTGGGAAAATGTCGAGGCCGCTTATTACCTGCATTTGCGCGCTTACCGATGCTGAAATTATCCCCCTGGTTAGAGAACATCGCCGGTGGTGCAAAACGACGCCGGTGGGTATGATTTACGTTGGATAGCAGGACCATTCTTTCGGGAGGATAATCCGGCGGGTTCGTCCGGCGGTTCATTCATAATGCACAGCCATTTATAATGCACGTAGAAACGATGCATGCAGGTGTAATTACAACTCCGTACTCTCTACCGCGCGTCCCGCGCAACATCCTACCTTATCCTATCCCATCCTCATTTGAGTAAACCGACGCTCTTTCCTAGTCGTCTGGCCACGTTGCGAGGTCATCTTTTCTACTCCTTCTCAGCCATTTGCCAGACAGCCCTCCTAACTGCGACTCCGCGCAGCTCGCGCTAACGAGGGTCCACTTGGTTCGCTTTATCGATTAATAGATTACAACAATAGTTGAATTTTAATGGATTCTCCGATGACACATTACGAAGCTCACGTTTCATATCATTTTCTTTTGTCGGTTAAAAAATTGTCCTTATAAAGGTAATAAAATGCCGTTGCGAATAATAAATTCAAACGTAAAGTGAAATGTCATTCGAATGATTTTCCCTTTTGTTTATTTTAGACGTAGTTATGAGTTATGAAATAAATAAAATCTATTTTTTCATTGCGATTGTATACAATTTTTTTACGTCTTCGTATTGTTTTCCTACACTTAAAACGTAAATCTATAAAATGTACGATTTCAAATTCGAGGTGAGATATGAAATTCATCTTTATACTATTATCGTCTATACAATTAAACGCGATTTAACAATCTATATAATTTATTAAATGTTACTATGTCAAACTATGTCAAATTGTACAAGAACTGTTCGACCTCCATTAAGTGCTCGTTTTATTGATTGTGAGCTAAAGAGGGAGCATAAACTCGGCGTATCCTATCAAGAAAAACGTTTTAGTTTGCCGACTTCCGGCTCTTTCAAATGCTTTTCTATCTACTCGTACGTAGGGCAAGACGCACAAGCTCCGTGGAAGCGACGAGAATGGCAAAGACGACGAAGGCGACGGGCGAGGAACGATGGAAAATCCAAATTGTCGCACAAAGCTCTCGCGCAATCAGGTTCCTGGTAATCCTTGCGCCTTCAAGTACTTCGGCACGATCGCGAAAGCCAATTATGTGGCTGACGTACGTACAGGTGCGGCTTTAAAGCGGCTAGGCAACGGGGCGAATACGAGGGCATGGAAAGTGCATTCCGGCGGAGCGCGGAATTACTCGATTAGAGCTAATTCGAATTATGCTACAGCTCGTTATCAAAATCGCTAATTGTTAATTGGTACGCGCCAGCATCGCGCGCGGATATACCGTCGGTGCGTAGCGAAACGGGACTCGTTGCGTTGACGTAATATATCCCGCGTTATAGATAAAAATTGCAACAATCTCGAGGATAAGTCGAGAAGAGTTGCGAAATTGTCGAAAGTTCACGTTGAGCAACGATTGAAAAACTGTTTGTTGAAGTGTTTATCTCATTTCGCCGATCGCTCCTTCGCTATCTTTCAAATATCTCGCAATATTTCCTCCATCGGGCTGCACACACGATTATCGTCGGAACGCAATGGCTGCATCTCATGGAAAAGTCAATTCTCATCCCTCTTTCTTTGTTATTTTGGCGTGAAGAGAAACGGCAAGACGCATGTCCTCGGTGGAATACATCCTCGTTTCTCGATTCTTCCGCCTTCCGCCTTGCGTTTCCGCGGTCGACTCTCGCCGCTGATAAATTGCGAGCGGCGAGAGTGTGGAAATTGCATACGCCGTTGCAACGTACGTCCCGGGTGTGCAGTAATCGTCTTGGACGTATGCGCGACGCTTGGTACGTAAAGGAAAACGGAAAGAATAGGATAGCAGGCAAAGGAGAAAGTACGTTACAGTACGGATGTCCAGACAGTGAATCCTCTCAGGATGGGTCTCGTTAGTCCTGCGTGACAGACTTACGGCACCCAAGACTCGTCCCGCCTCGGCTACTCATCACGGCTTCGGAACGAGATGTACTGGAGAGACAAGAGGATGTTGGGTTTCTTCCTTCCAAATTACGCCCGTAGGCTCCTTGCCAAGTGGAACTAGTCCTCGAAAACACGCCCGGCATATACATATCACAAATAAAAATAACATAAATCATCAAGCCGTTATAATTAAATCATCAAATTATTGTAATTATTGTAATGGTCAATTAATCTAAAGGACTGTACAAAGTGAATGAAGATCTCATACACACATATCTCTATATTACTTTTGATTTCTTTTAATCTTTTGATGCTGATGCCAAATTCTGTTAACTGATATTAACGATAAGTCTGCGAGGCTCATTTAATTTATATTGACTAGAAGACACTAATTAATTTTAAGAGACCGAAATGACATAATTTGTATAAAAAAAGAATAAAAATATTAAATTTCTTTTAACAACAATGGATGCATTCAGCGAACACAACGATTGAGCGAGCGCTCAGTAATTATTGCCTGATTGAAGTAGACCTTCAGATTCACAATAAATCTAGAAAAATATATCAATAGCAATAAACGCTCATTCAACCGTTGTATTCGCTGAATGCACCTAATAATTTGCAGATATGAAGAATTGATTGAGTGGATTCAACAGACTCGGCATCAGCTCTGGAAGGTCAAATTTAATTATACGTCGTTGCTAAAGACGAGTATTTGTCTGCAAATTATTTCTCTACAAATTATTTCTCTGCAAATATTCAACGCATATATTTGGAATTTGAAGTTACTGAAATGTAATTTCGTGCTTCACATGCGAAAGTTTCTTTCCATATTTACGTGCTGAAAATTTGTATTTGCCCAGTTTATGAGATGATCGTTTCGAAAAAATAATCTAACATTGGCACTAATATGGATATCATCTTCAGTCTATCGGTGTTGATTGTTCGACTGCCCAGAAAATACATCCTTCTCACCTTCTTAACATTCGCACATCTCTTCAGTGCGTTTTCGAAAAACAGAGAGAGAGAGAGAGAGAGAGAGAGAGAATAGTATACAAGATGGCTGGCGGTGCACACGCATCCAGGGTGGATAACGAGAGAATTTGGGAACAAATTCGAGCGCGAGGAGAAGCTGACCTGCCGTCAGAAGTTTCATTTATATGTTAATCGTCAGACAGCAGTCGCTGACGGTGTCGACAGGCACTGCTTGCTGCACCACTCTTTACGTCTCATATTATAACAATTCTCAAAATATCGCGTATAAGTAGACATCGATTATATCCGGAAATAGTATTGATAGATTGGACAGGAAATTTGAGGTTTAACCATCGATCAGTTTCCAGGAAAGGCTGTCAGGAGGATTGACACTCGAAAAAAGGCTAATATATATCACATAAATAATAATTTATTAAAAAAAGAGGAAATATAACCAAGCAAGATAGAGAGATAGAGAAAGAGAAAAAATATATTAATAAAACATATGTGTATCAAGAATACATATTCTTTTTTATTTTACAAAATGTGTAAACTTAAAAAAAATTAATTCTCAAATCTTTCGAATAAAATTCCATGGAAGTTTTCAATAATTGGGTATTTAAAGTTTAAATTTCATTAGTTTTCGTATATATTTGCTTTTAGAGACAAAATCGATGACGATATTTATATCACATTATTCGAATATTAAAATTTATATAATATTATTTCATTACACAATTGTCTATAAATAGACGATTAATTAATAGACGATAGATCAAAATTTCTGTCGAACTAATGATAGATAAGTATGAAAATGATATGTTTCTGGCTCAGTGAACCTATGGAATTATTAGAATTTCATAACCGATATATTGAAAACCGCTACAGTCCATAGTCGAATTCCAAATGCTTAATTGAAATAGATATGAAAGATACATACAGAAGGGTAAGCTTTAATTGAAATCGCGAATTTTCAATTAATTAGTCGTCAATCAATAATGTGTTAAAATTTCAGCAACGAGAAATATCAAACTAAACCAATCTTTTTGAATAGAATTTTCTTAGCTGGTTTTTTATCGAAACAATATTTATATAAACATTAACGATAAAATTTAGCATAAAAGATATATATATATAAAATAATAAAACGTTAAATTAAAAAATGAATTAAAACTCGTTATACAGCATAATAATTTATATTATTCTAAAAAAACATATAGATGTATACATATTGGGATATTTAAAAAAAACCGATGAACAAAACAAATGTGTTATCAAAGTAAGTACTTTTTATCTACTGGCTTTAATTATGGTCTACATTTCGCTTTAGGAAGTTATAAAACTTCACTCATGTTGCACGATTTTTACAAGATATTTTTATCAACTCGATCAAGTATTTGTGCAAACATTTCTATACTTAATTAACGCGTATATTTTAATGGTGTCCGGATTATGTCACTCGAATTTCTGAAAATTATATTTATTTACTATGTATAAATTTAAAAAAAACGGTACAAATGAAATAAAAAGTATAATAAAAAAAATGTAAAAGCGTGTGCATATACATATATGTATATAGAAAATGTATAGTAAAAATCGTATTATCTTTCGTAAACTGGTAGAATTAAATTAAATAAAAAAGTTCTCTACCGTCTTGCAATTTCCTCAATAATTAATAAAAAATTAATTAATAAATATTTGCAAACCAAGATGAAATTTGCGTAGCAAAATTTAGCAAAGAATATTAGCGCTCAGCGAGCATTCAGAGAGGCGCGCTTCTAGGAACTGCAAATAATGCATAACGTTGAGCTGACTTTTCTCATTGAATCGCACAGATTCAAATTCATATATATATATATATATATATATATATATATATATATATATACAAATAA